AAAGGATGAGAATCTGCCCTTCACTGTGAGGCTTTGCTGCAACACGTGGAGCCTTCACAGAGACCTGACCATAGTTTCACCTCTGGCTGCCTCCTGTCCTTTCTTTGCAGCAGACAGAGCTGACACGAGCAGACCTGCCTCCGCTGAACCGGCTGCCACCTCTACTGTCAGCACTGAGTCAGCGCTTCTGCCGCTCTCCAGCTGCCCCAGCAGTAGCTGGGTTATTTCCAGGACACTGGAGTTACTGCCCCCAATAAATGGAATTGCTACTGGGGGAATGCTTTCCCTGGGAGAGCTTTCTGTAGTCAGAAGAAAGAGTTTAAGCATCAAGAGGGCAGGGAAAGGCAGAGTGGTTTTCTACCCAGGGGATTTTTGTGAGGCACTCCTGAGCAAAATGCAGCAGCCTGGGAGCTGCTTTTTGAAAGCTTTCAAGGGAAGAGCTCACTCGAGGAGGATGAGGGGATGGGGAGACACCTCCCAACACAGACTGTCCCCCAAACAAGCAAACCCAGCAAGCTTTAAGGTGAGATTCAGATGTGCTCATCCTCCATGCAGAGCTGAATCTCACCTCCTTGGTCACTCCTTCCAAGGCACACATCTCATCATAAAGCACTAAGAAAGAGAAAACATTTTTGTTTGCTTCCCTTTGTCCTTTTTTCTTCTTAATAATGACTGCTACAACAGCTAGATGAAATGCTGAGGAGCAGCTGCAATATCAGAAATTATTTTTGCCTCATTATAAAAATGTATCCTTTTTAAAGGGAGAGAGGCAGAATGGAGATTAGAGGTTCCAGTGCTTTGTCGGGTGTTACTTAGTACCTGTGGATCATTACACTGATAAAAATATGCACAGACTCCCTTTTCAGGTTTAAAAGTGTTTTGTCCTTTTGTTTGCTTAGCTAAATAAAGAGTGTTTGTTTGACCTGTGATTTTGAATCCAGCTGGCTTTTTAATATACAGTGACTCATACAAAGCAGCCTGCAGAGTCAGTCTCTTTTCCACTGTTTTACTGTGGATTTAGGCAGAAGCCCCACAGAAAATCAAGCAGTGTGTGGGGCTTTCAGCCCCTAATGGCTCCCAACCAGGTCTTCTTCACCAGAGCTGTGCTCTTCATTCTGTAATTGCTCCTGCTGGAACAAGGGAGCTCATCACAGTGAGAAGCACTTCAAGCAAGCCAAATAACTGGGATTTGGTCTTGCAAGGCATTGCAAGTCCAGTATGATTTTCAAGGCTGGTAATGAACCATTAGTTTCTAATGAAGATTGGAGCTGAGGCCTGTCTCAAAACGGTAACTTTTTGGTAATAAGACACTGCCATTATCTGGCTGAAGTGCAATAGAGCATCACTGGTTTCAGTGGGAACAGACTGGGAGCTCTTTAGACCAAGTCTGTCATTATTGTACCTAGATCAGAATAAGGCAAAGATTTTTTAAGAGTGGCAAAGCAGGAAATCTTGTTTCCATTTCCAGAACAGACTATAAAGAATACACCACAACAAAACATTGGGCCTAATGCTTGCCCCTCAGTGTGTTTTCTCTCCTCATAGACTGCACCATTGACATGAGAACAAAAAAAGCTTTGAGCCCATGGGCCTGTAGGGACAAGGAAATAGTAATGGCAACTGCCATTGCAGTCCTGGTCTGTATGCAGGCAAATTTGCCCATGGACTTTTGGAAACAGCAGATCAGACACAGTCCTCCTTGAGCAGACACGTGGTTGTCCCCTGGGTTGGCTTCCCATTGGGGATATAGGGGAGTCACAGCCCTGCTCTGCCCAGTGACTGGAAATGGGACTCCAGGAATTTTTGTCTCCCCAGATAATTTCATTACCAAGGTCAAAGTGCCATCATCTGATAACAGGAGGAGTTTGTGGGTCGGGATACTGCAAATGTAACACCATTTTCTCAAATAAAGGTCTGATGTTTCAAGAAAAAGCTCAGAAAGGAAAATACAGGTGTCATGCTATACACAGCTCCTGGACTTCCTCCATCATGTAAAATGGGTTGTTGTTTGGGGAGAGAAGAGTTTAGGTAGCCTCTTTTACATTATTCCACTCAGAGGTTCCTGCAGATCTGAATTCACTTTGAAAATTAGAGCTGTATTTTACTGCAAGTGGGTTGATATCAACTCCACTGTCAGGGCTATCCAAAATGTATCACAATACTCTGTTCTCTTTTACCTTAGTTTTTCCTAGAAATTATGAGTCAACATATCTTTCTGAATGTGGCATATAGAAAAAGCATCTGCATTGTCTCAGGAAAACGAATGTCTAAGATCACTGTAATCCGAATTTTCTTCCTGGAAGAGAAGAATACTTGGAGAAGCACTTTGAAAGTGTCACATTTCTAACAGGAGGGATTCAGCTTTATTTTTTAGACACAGTGAATCATTGGCAAAAGTGGTAACTGAAAATGTGATCATATAACAGAAAAAAAAAGGAACAAAGTCCCATTTAAAGAAACATGAACAAAAATTGGAAGAGTAACTCACCTAAATTGTTTACACTCCTCGATTTAGTGGTTTATTACTGAAGTAGGATTCTATTCAGTTAAGTTCTTTATCTAATTTTTATACAGAATGTCACTGTGCAATGAATTCATGGTGAAAATCCCCTCATGCCAGATAGGGTTAAAGGAGGGAGGTTGCATTAGAGGCAACCTGTGGCAGATTCTGCCACTCCTAAGGACTATAAGTAAGGATAAGAAATTTCTCCTAGGGGTTTTAGAGCCAGCGCTTGTCTTCAGAGCCTGTACAAGGCTCCCAGAAGCCTGCTCAAGTCCTACACAAAATCTCACACCTGGGTGCAGGTTCAGTGCCAGGTGTGAGGATCTGCACTCAGCAACTCTCTCCTGTGATTTTGTTCCAGTCAACACAGGAGTGACAAAGATTTATGAGGATAAAGCCTAGCAGGTGGCACATTTTCTAGTTTTAACAGAAAGCTTTGCCACACTTCACCTGTCTGAGGCACTCACTTTCCCCTCAGCAGTTATTGCTGTGGGTGTTGCAGCACCTCTGGCTGAGTGCCTGCAGGGTGAGGTCAGAGCACGGTGAGGATGATCCAGCCAGCAGCTTGATCCCTGGCTTTGCTAGGGGAAGGGAGCTTGAGCACTCTCTGTGCCACCCAGCCACAGGGCCTCTTTTATTTGCTGGCTTAGACACAGCATATGAGACGTGGCCTTAAAAAGGGGTAAAAACATCTTTTTTACCAGCAACTTGAGGGCTCTTAATTTGAGCAGTATTTTGACCTATAATAAAATCCAGTTTGAATTATATTTGTAACACCTCTGCAACAGTTCCCTGATGAACTGCATGCCTGAAGGTAGTCATCAATTACAATGTCAGATTTGTGATTATTAAAATTGATAAAAATAGTGGAACTAGCAGCCTGGAATACCAATTTTTCTTTTAAATTAAATATCTTTGTGTTATCAGTGAATTGATGCTGGGTATCATAATACTTGCACATAATACAGCATTACTGATTCACAGCCTCTCTGAGGCTTGTTGGATCCTTGTGGACCCAACTGCTCCAGTAGGCAGAAGTTTGATCCATTGCCAGTCATAAACTGGGAAAAGCACGAGTCCAAACTTTATATATGGTGCCGTGCATATAAAAGGAATCTGTTTCAGCCCTTAAATACAAGCAGAAACACAGTGATAAACTATAACATAACCAAGATGTAAGTGTAGCATAATTATAAATAAATGAACAGCAACACTGCTCCTGAAATCTGCTGCAAGCACTGTTGTTCTGAGTAAATCAGTCACTGGTGGATTTGAACCTGAGTGAAGGAGTGTTCCAAACTCCGAAAAACATTGACCTCTGATGGACTCTCTGAAGCCACTAAGCCGTGGGATTGTCAGAAGACTGTACACTGCTCTGAGACAGGCAGGCAGCAAAGATGCACTTAAATGATTTTTCTACAGCGTGCAGTCCAAGAACAAGGAGGCAGAGAAAACAATTCAGATTCCCCTCAGAACTGTGGATGATAAGGAAAGTCCGCATATTGTGGCATTTTACAGGCTTTTAAGAAAGAATACCGTGCCTTTTTTTTCCTTTTCCTTTTTTCCCTTTTGGCATTAGACTAAAACAGGAAAAAAGAGCCCAGCTTAGAGAATGCTTTTCCCCACAGTCTAATAATTTTTAAATGGGTCATTATTGTAAAGGGCTAATTCATAACTTGAAAATTAAAGCTGCTGGGAACCTGGTGAATAATTGTAACAAGCAGCCTATTCGACTAGGCTATTTGTTTCCTTGGTTGTTGGAGGTTAAAAAAAAAAAAAAAGAGTTTGTTCTCTTTGTTACTCTTTGACAGACTAAAGAAGAGAGAACAAACAAACAAAACAAACAAACAAGGAGGAAGGTGCCTTTCTTGGCCCAGTATTTCATCTCCATAGTGAATGATGATCTCTTTAGGCAGAATTACATGGGGAGCCTTCAAAAGTAAACAAAGGGACTTTGCTCAACTGGCAAATTTGCCATCTCTCTTCTTTCTAAATGCATCTAAACACACAAGTTATATTACATTTTAAATATTTTTATTTGTATACAAAATGGTATAATTTATCAATGTTGTGCAGCAAAGTATAGATAGACACACACATCACATACATACATCCCCACCCTCTTCCCTCCCCAACACACACACTTAGAAATACGACACAAACACAACTTTCTTTCCCTCCGCCCTTCAGAAAGGCAACACTGTTTTGGCAGGTCAGCAGCTAGAAATAAGGTGCTATAGTCAAGCAGTACCAGAATGTCTTCACTTTACAAATGTGATGTGCAAATTTATATACAACCACATTGTTGGTTTTTTTTTTTCCAGGAAACCCGAAACTCCATACCCCGAGCCACTCTCCGAGATACAAATATGTATAAAGTGCTAATACTTAAGCGTGTTTCCAATGACTTCACGACGTAGTTTGAAGTTTAGAACAGGCACTGTAATAGTTCACTGGGTAGATTGTCACTGGGTGCAGCTTGGCAGAGAAAAGTCACTCAGACATCGCTGGGGGACCGGGAGCGAAAGGACACTTTAGCCTGAAAGCAGCCACAGAAGAGCACCCACATGGACCTCTGGATTTCCTGGTTTCTGTAGGCATAAATGATGGGGTTGATCATGGAGTTGTAGGTAGCAGGTAGGAGCGTGGCGTACGTGTACACAGAAGGGTAGTCAGGATCCCCCACCACACAGTAGATGGCAAAAGGCAGCCAGCTGGCTCCGAAGGTCCCAAGGATGATAGCCAGGGTAGAGACTCCTTTTTTGGTGGTGACATAGTGCGAGGCAGTCAGAAAGTGCTGCTGGAGAGCTATCTGGTGGGCATGCCTGCAGACTATCTTGCAGATCTCGATGTAGAGATGGAGCATGATGAGGAAAATGAGAAAGAAGGAGGCAGACAGCAGCGTCACGTTACTCTTGGTCAAGGGTCTGACGACGCTGCAGGAGGTGCGGTCGTGGAGGCAGTTCCAGCCCAGGACGGGCAGCAGCCCCAGGCAGAGGGAAACCCCCCAAGCGCCCGCCAGCATGGTGTGAATGCAGAGCACCGTCCTCTCCGAGTAGTAGGTGAGGGCATTGTACAGGGAGAGGTAGCGATCGACCGTGATGGCCAGCAAGCTACTCACGGAGGCGGCGAAGGAGGCGACGAGGAAGCCCACCGTCAGCAGGCTGACCGTCTCCGAGGGAATCACGTACTGGAAAACGAAGTTGAGGATGAGGCCGAGGCCGGCCAGGAGGTCAGCCGTGGCCAGGCTGCCCACCAGCACGAACATGGGGGAGCGCAGGGCGGGCGAGTAGCAGATGATGGCAACCACCAGGGCGTTCTCGCAGGCGATGGCGGTGCCGGACACGCAGAGCATCACATCCCAGGGGTTGAGGGCGGCGGGCGCGGGGGCCCGCGACGAGAGCTCCAGCGAGGAGTTTCCGCCGCCGGCCGGCAGCCGCGGGGCCGCCGCTCCGCTCTCGTTCAGGGCTGCCGCCGCCTCCATCGCCGCCGGGGCGGCCGGGGCTGCGCGGGGACGGCAGGGCGGCCCGGGCCGCGGGGAGCGGGCGCGGCGGGGCCGCCGTGCTGCCCAGGCAGAGGGGACGGCGCTGGGCCGCTCCCCCCGCCCGGCTCCGGCTCCGGCTCCGGGGCAGGGAGGGTTTGGTCGGGGGCACCGGGAGGGAGAAGTGGGCACAGACACGCACACACACGGAGCCGGCTCTCCCGCTGCTCTTCCCCCGCTCCGCAGCCGGTGCTGCCGCGGTGGGTGCCGTCCGTGCAGCGCTCGCTGTGAGGGCTCTGAGCCCAGCGGGAGCTCGGTGCTGCGGCGGATGGGAATGTGCCCGAGCAGCGCTCCGAACAGCTGTGGGAAAGCCCTTTGCGCTGTTGCGCTCTCTGGACAGTGTGTGTTTTCTGGGGCTAGCAGTGTGTTCGCCGCCGAAAGCATCCGCGCCGCTTTCTGAGGTCCCCAAAATGATACGGTCAAACCTCAATCCCACGGGCATAACAGATGCCAGCTCTTTGTGTCTTACAACCAAGCAGCAGCCAGCGCGTTTCCTCTCTAAAGCGTGAATAGATGAAGCAGAATCACAGAGTCACAAGGGCTGGAGGGGATCTCTGGAGAACACACAGTGCATCCCCTGCCAAGGCTGAGCCCGTGACACAGGAGCATGTCCAGGTGGGTTTGAATGTCTCCAGAGAGGGAGACTCCACAACCTCTCCCAGCAGCCTGTTTCAGTGGTCTGCCACCCTCCATGTAAAGAAGTTCTTCCTCAGGTTGAGGAAGAATTTCTTGCATTTTAGTGCACAGCCGTTGCTCCTCATCCTGCCGCTGGGCACCACCAAAAAGAGCCTGGCACCATCCTCATGACACCTTCCTTTAAAATATTTATACATATTGATATGGTCAAAGGATAACGTTCTTGTGCCCATTGCTGGCAAAACCAGCACCAAACAAATGTGGGCAGTGGGCAGCTTCCCTCTGCAGCAACACAGCTTTTCCTAGGGGACAAAAGGTGTCCCCACCTCAGTCTGGGACACTGTGTTCACTCTGTGACTGACAATCAAAAGCATGTGGAAATAAAATAACCTCTCAGTTATGAGAACAGCATGTAAACCACCTAGACACAATTTTGAAAAATACATTAGAAGAAAATGTGTTTACTGTCTTGAACAGTCCAAACGAAGAAAGCGTGCAGGTTGTGCCACAGTAAAAGGTGGGCACATTCAAAAAGAATTAGTGTCAGCACTCATTACATCCACCCCTGTCAATGTCCTCCTGCAGGCTAAACACTATCATCAAGACAAGCTGTGGACACTCTGTACCTCTGTAAACAACTGAAGCCATTGCTCCCCAAGAATTCTGAAACACAGATCTCAGAAAAGCTTAATTTGGAAGGGAGCAGTGGAGGTCAGGTCTGGGGCATCTGTCCTGTCCCACCACCTGCTCAGAGCAGGGACAGCATCAACTGTGCAGAGAATTTCCTCAGGGTCTCATTCAGTCAAGTCTGATTATCCCCAAGGAAGAAAATTGTACAGCCTCCCTGGGCAACCTGCGGCTCTGCTTCACCCTCAGCTGCAAAGTTTTTTCCTTTTTATTTTGTAATTGCCTCCACTACAACTTGGGTCCACAGTCCCCGTGGGGTGTCCTGCCATCTGTTTGTATGTTTTCCCTTACCAATCCAGGCATTACAACAGCATTAGTAACTGCAGTAAAACCAGTTTCAAGTGGAGTTAAGAAGGATTTGCAAGTCTCCTCAACTCAAACACTTGGTTGAGCACCCCTGCTATAGTTTAGAACTTAGCAGTTACCCTGTACCCTCTGCCAGCTGCAGAACAGGTATGGCCAATGTAAACTTGGATTTGATTAATATTGAAATCACAAGAATCCCGGTGTGGAAAGAGCTGCTACAGAGCAAGGCAACAGAAGGCAAGGTAGAATCAGAGGTAAAGTAAAATTCTGTATTTGCCCAGAGGAAATCCTTCAGTCTACCCCTCAAACAGAGGTGGTTAATTTTAACATTAATTAAAATTACTGTGTCAGAATAAATTATTCCAAACATCTTTCAAAATTGATTAAAAATGCTGCCATTCAAACTTAGCAAGTCAGGTTTGCAAACATGAGCCAGCTGGGGTCCACTATGAAGCTGTAAGTTCTGCAGCAATTTTATGGCATCTATAAAGCAGAAAAAGAAATGTAATTTATTTGGTTTTTAGTAATGAGATATGGTGTGGAAAGTCTTGGTTTGGGGCCAAGATCTTTGACCAACCTGTTATGACTGTGAAACAAGTGTATGGCAGGTCTTGGCTACAATAGCATGTATATCACAGGCCAGTGTATTTTTTTATATTATGGATTTTAAACAATTTTCCTTAACTGAAAACATTAAGAGCTCATGCTGCCAAGGCAGAAGTAATTTCATGTGTGGTGAAACCTTGTGAGAGTGTTGGGATCTCAGAGTGAGGTGTAGGAAGAGTTTTTAACCTGAGAAGAGTTTTTAGCTAGTCTCACACCCTGTGCCTGTGGTCACATATTTCACTCTGAGAAAGAATTGCTCAGCCACAGTAGTGCGTCTCCGAACGGCAGGTGCACATGTCCAGCTTGTCTTTCCTCCTTGTGTCACGTAGTTTCTGAGTTCTTTCAGCTCTTTAGTTCCCTCATTTCCATGGACATTTACCCTTTCAAGAGAAGGATGCTCTTACAGTCCTCGTCAGGTTCTTACAGAGCCCAGGGAGCAGTGCTGTGCATCTTCCTCATCTCCCTCGCATTGCCAAGTATCAATTGGCAGGGTTAGGGACCAACTCCACGCTTATTAAAATGGTGACACCTCCTTGGGAACTGTTTGTATTTCCAGAGCTGTCATTAAAGGCCTTTTATCTTCTTAGCAGAGATTGTTGCATCAGTCATTCCAACAAAAGGTGAACCATCTGGATTGCTCTTAATTTTAACTGGTTGTGGGAAAAAAGAGGATTCGAAGAGTAGATACAAACCTGATGCCTAAAAGCCACCACATTTCCCACAGCACCATAAGGAGCAGCAGAGAGAAAAGTCTGGTCAGATCTTTTGCATTGTCATCAAGATGTTTTCATCTTCCCCTCCTAGCTGAGGCTGGATCTGCAGATCTCACAGGAGAGTACAAATATAAAAAGCTATGTTCCAGCACTGCATACCTAAGCATCGTGTATGATATAACTCAGTAATTATCTTAGTGAGTTTCTGAAAATTAAGCACCAACAAAATAAAAAAGTTGCTGAAACAAATGTTTTAAAAACCTCTCTGCTTGAATTCTCCATCTGTTCTGAGAGCTGAGCAGTATTGTCGTGTAATTTTAATATGTGATTACTTAATTTCAGTTAACGATGGATTATTTTGCTAGCTGGTATTTTTAATGATTAATAAGTAGGTTGAGTAAATGTTAAGTATTATTAAATGTACTTTACATAGCAAGAGTTGGAACCAACAAAAATTTCTCTTCAAAATTTATCTTTCCAATAACATGCTGAAAATATTGAAGAGACATTTTTCTTCTGGCAACATAAAGAAACCTTAAAATAAAGGCGGGAGGAGGGGAAGGGAGGGGGGATAACACAGATGGTGAGCTAACCAGCACTGGCATTTCAAAGGCATCTATGCAGCTGGTGTGAAAAGATGTTTTAAGCCCTTACCAATCCATTTAGGCACTTCTTCAAGTTTATAATTTTCCTGACTTGGTGAACTCAGCTGAGTCACCTGGTGACACCAATTTCTAGGATTTTACTAATGATACCCTCTGCTTGATCCTTCATATTTGGAGAGGTGTCCACCTGCAAACATGCCACATTGCAAAACCTACTGGTGACATAAATCTCAGAGGGGTTCAAACACCAGTTAGAATTTCAGTCTCATCCTCCACAGTCCCGTTTCTCCACCACACGTCATGTTTCCCACATGGACCTTGGCTGTGCTTCTTGATGGAGCACTCATGGTGCTACCACTCTTTTATGAAAAGTCTCCAGCTGCTTGGATGCTGTGCCACTCATAAAAATACATTCCAGAAGAGCCTGCATGTCTGTAAAATCTGTTTCACTTGCACAGTAAGGCTACATGGGTCTGCATAAATGCAAGCAAACAACTATCACAGTTTTTCTAGCACATGCTTGGGTTGAAAATCCTGGTTTACTGTGTTACATTTAAAAGGTTGCATTTCTCCAATGGATTTTATGGGTGCTTTCAAAAATGATACTGCATCTTATGTGGTCTCTGAATCACTAGCAGAAAGTACAGGGACAAACTTCACATAAGCAGGTGAAAATCTGCTTTCAATAATGTAACAAATACCAGGCATCAGGAATGGATTCAGGCTGAACCTTAGGTTGAAATTTTGGTTTTGAGGTAGAATTCCCACCCAACCTCCCCTGGCCCTGTCCCACTCACAGTTTCAGCAGCTGCTGGTTGTGCCTTTGGCTGACAGTGGCAAGGTTCCAGACTCTGATTCCTCCTCCTTCTCCCACCCCACTCCAGACAGGATGAGTTTTGGATGCAGCTTTGACCTCTTAAGCTTAGTGAGACAGAGATGCCTTTTCTGAGTGTTCACCACCCAGAGATGTTTATTTTTCGAGGAGCTTTTTTGAAGGTTGATCTTTCATATCATCATTTAGAAAGGGCACAGATACTATGAGAGCTATCAACACGTGCTTAGCAATCTCCACATCAGCCCACTGCCAGCAGCCAGCCAGGCTGAGGCAGAGGAGCTGGCTTAGCTTCCAAAGGAGGAACTTAGGCCAGCAACTTTGGATGTGGAAAGAGCTGCACGTGGGTTTGTATGGTAACTGCTTACCCTTATTGGAAAAGTTAGCCTCTGGTCCACTCTATTTATTTCTAGAGATTAGTGATGAATCAGCTGAAGCTAAATACACATATTTTGCAACCTTTCCTTCCTTGCCCTGCTTGTTCTGTTGATGGAAAGGCAGCAGCAGCAACAAAGGTCATTCATCACTAGATGTGTCATCAAGTGCAATAGAACAAGG